TAAATAGGTATACATGTAAATATATCGGGCTTAACTCGTCGAGTACCGTCATTACAGACACAATTATAGAACAATAGGTTGCGGTCACCGGTGACCGCTTGGTGTTTGACAATTTAATGATCGATTTTCTTGGTCAACAACAGAAGACCTTTGTCCTAAATCTCCTCGGTTCGAGGCAAATTAGTAAGTAGAAAGGACTAGGTATTTGTTACGAAGATATTACGCCTCGGTAGACAACCATCAAGATAATTTGTAACCTCTAGTCAGTCATTATTTCATTAGGTATTGTTAGTGTAGACATTGTCTTTCACTACCCTCATACAAGCTAGATAAAAAAGTTCGTGTTCAGGTGGACAGTGATATACAAAAACCTTCTTTGGAGCAATCCTGCCATAGTCTTACAAAACTGCTCCGAACCCCTGTGCACCAGGATACAGTAGATACAACCATGCAAACACCAGAACACTGAAATCCGGTGTGTCTCAAGGATATGAACAACTGTCTTGGATCTCGCAACGAAATAAGTCTGAAGAGTAGATATCCAAAACCTATTAAGACTATACCTTGGCGGTGGTTCAGGCAGCAGTTGGTTGGCGAAGTCCCCGGCATGGTACCGTCGCTCGGCGATCAATGCAGTCAACCTGACGAGCTCTCGCTTGGCGTTCTCCCGCCGTGAGACCAACTCCAACAGGCTCAACGCTCTCGCCAAATCCCGTCGCAGTTTCAACATCTTCTCGTACGAGCTCTCGTCGTTTTTCCTGAAATCAGATTATGTAAGTTTAGTTTAGGATTTTATGTAAGTTGTAGAAGATAAACCAAAAACTTGACTACGTATGGTTCAGGTGTCGTGTGCACGTAAAATGTTGCTGTTGACATTACAGCAAAGACAACTTTTGTTTTATTTAAGTTTGTCTTATTTATTTCCAAATTATAGTTCTGGGTCTAGATGTTGTGTGCACCCATATGCATGCATTTGTGATGGAATATGGTGAAAATTGGATCCCCCTAATTAAATTCCTCAGAAAATATTAGACACAGTTGTATATCGCGCTTCAGCCAGATAGTGACAATATACGCTATGTGGCTGGCAGATCTTACATGCTTACAGACAAATATTGAAAAGGCTTATGTTCAGCAAGGGCCGGAAACAGCAACAAATCGCAATTGACAGTAAGTCTCCACTCCCCCGACTTAATTAGGAGACAGACGGCCTGGTAAATCTCTCCTCATTACAAACTGAAGTATAAAGTCCTCTCACCTGTTCTTCCTGGTCTGCATCTTCTCCGTCCTCCGCCTGAATGCCAAGTAGGGGTTGTTGGACGACTGGCCCGGCCTGTTCTCTGTTTTTACCGACAGGATCAGCGGGTGTTGCTGTAAATGTACAAACATCATAACATTAATAACAAAATCTATAAGTTTAGTGTTAATTTATGCGGAGTCACGTGGATAGCCGTCAGTCCTCGATAGACCACAGCCCCTATAGTATTCTGTTTTATTATTTTTTCGAGTCGGCCTAAGTATCTTAGTACCTATATGAAAAGAGAAAACTTCAGAAATATATCAGTAAGTATAGGTACGAATAAGGAATAACATGACTAGCAATGTTAATACTTTTGCCTGCCACTAAAGACAGGCGGATTTTAAGTGCTTTCGCAATGCCCGACAGTTTCTGAAGTAGAACATCTATTTAAACTGTCAAACACCGCGAGGACACCGGTAACCGCAACCTATTGTTCTTTAATTGTGTCTATAATGACGGTACTCAACGAGTTAAGTTGGTAAGTAAGGTAAATTAATGAGGTATTCCTCGTAGCGCTCCCGTTTTGAAGCGCGCCCATCTAAGCGCTCCCGTTTTATTCCTCTAAGCGCTCCCAAAAGGAGCGGCCCGTCCCGGCTTCGCACGTCTTTGGTAATTAATATTTTTTTGTTTTATTGTATTCTTTTTTGTTTTATTGGCCGCTAGTTGTATATTATAACAATGTGTTCTACTTATTACCTAGTTCTTATCGATAATTTCAATTAGTAAAGTCCCATCTCTATCCGAAAGTTAATCATGGGAGCGCTAAGAGGAATAAAACGGGAGTGCTTAGATGGGCGCGCTTCAAAACGGGAGCGCTACGAGGAATACCTCAAATTAATTTTGTAAATTCCTCATTGGATCGCTTGAACGTCAACTCCCCGGCCACCCTGAATTGTTTGATTTTATTTTCCTTGCCAAAGACCTCTTTGGAGCATAAAATAACATGCGTACCTAAAGACCAAGTTAAGGCTATCCCTTCACTTATTAACTTGGTGTTTGTTTTACTTATAGGTAATTAATAAACGTTTTAGTACAGTACCGTATTAAGCCGCTTATTGAGCCAGTAGTCGTAGACCGCGATGACGAGGTCGTCGTTCCTCTCCAGCAGCAGCTTGGCCTCGTTGAGGGTCACCACCGTCTGGCCAGAGCTCTTCTCCAGCTTGTCCATCATCTGCTCGAACTTTAGCTCTGGAAGTAACATGATTATGTTTATATTTCTACAACATGTATTTAGGACTTGCAGGGTTCATACAATGGAATCGTATTCGAATTTTTGTACGAAAGACTCACTCTCTATTAAATGGGACTCAGACAGACAAATTGCCGTCAGTAAGCTTCTAATTATAGTCCAATGGAAATTGTCTTCTTATATCATAGGACCAAGTTCCAACCTATGGTTCTTAAAAATGCATCTCATGTAATTACAGTTCTACTGATCAGCATGAACGCACATTAATTTATATTTCGAAAGCCAAGCTAGGTAAAGTCAACTTTATTTTGTTGGGGAAAATCATCCAATAACTTGTCCCGCCTGGGTGAGGTGAGGAGTGTCAGACTCTTACAGACTAAAAACCACCCCGTTCCTACTCCTGCACTTCGAGCCGGAGCCCCGGCAACCTGTTAAGTCCTCCCCGGCAGGTATAATCGACTTGGAACTTTTTAATTCTATTTTTTTTCATAATCATTTTTATATCACCCTTCTCGGGTAAAATTCCTTACAAAATGATGTAATAGACCATCTCCGCCACAATGAATTTCATCTTGAGCTGTCCTAGTCGACACGTCCGCCGCTACTAGCAATAAATAAGCCGGGGCCACACAAACGACATGATGACGACAAATTGCAGCGCTAGATTGATTCAGTTGGAGTGTGCTAGTTACTGACTAGTATGGATTTGTTCGGGAATGAGGTAGGCAGAGATTACAAGCCTTGTAACAAGTTCGGACTTCTATGAGATTTAGAAAACCATTATAAAGGAATGCTAAAAAGACTGACAGTTTCTAGGAGAGACGGATAGTATAAGCTTTATATTTTAATTAAAAAAGTTTATCGTGATCATCATTTTTTAAGGGGGGAAAATTATCTAATGACTACTCCTCGCCGTGAGTGTCAGACTAACTGACTAAAAACTACCCCGTTCCTACTACTGCTTCAAGTCGGAGTTCCGATAACTTGAAAGCTATCCGCAGCTCCGGACCCTTAATTAGGACTTGACTAGTAGGTAATAAAACTTCATTATTCTCATCAACAACCTCCTTTCAACTACAGTCCACTTCTAGAGTACGGACCTCCTCTGCCTAAGAGGTGGTCTTACCATAACCTCGACCCTCTTCCGCGGATTGAAAAACAATCATGGTATTTCATAGTAAAAAGGATTTATTTACCTGTGAGCTCAGGATGCCTTTGCTGTTTCAGCCACCTTTCATCCTCCGTGTCGATGTCGTACTCTGGCGCCTCTTGCTCTTCCCACAGCGCTGTAACAATATAAAATGATATTGTAGTAAACAAATAAGTTTGGTTTATGTTCATCGAAACTCCAGCTTGAATAATTAAAGCTATTATTTTTAAACATACACGAATAGCAGTGCCGAAACTAAAGTCAGGTCTTATGCATGTTCATCATTTCTTCTATAAATATTGAAGGATATTTTTCAAACAGTTAATATATGAAAACGAAAATTTATCCCCGAAAGGGTAGGCAGAGGTGCACATTCCGGCACTTAATGCCACTGTACAATGTAACACCCACTTTTCACTATTTATAAGTCCCATGTAATAGGGGGTGAGCCTATTGCCATATACAGGGCACAATTCCACACTCCGTGCTACCACTGAGAATTTTTTTTAAAACCCAGTAATACTCTGTCCGATCTAGGAATGGAACCCGAGACCCCTTGCCCGGAAATCGCCCTTGCAACCACTCGGCCAACGAGGCAATCATAAAACAGTAAATACATATTGCTATAAATATTATATAAATCAGTTATAAAGACTAGGCACTCATTGGCATGAGTTCGTTTCACAATTTCATTGAAATTATATTTTCTAAAATCTATCCATGGCCCTTCGGAGAACCTAACGGGTTGCCGGGGCTCCGACTCGAATTGCAGGAGTAGGAACGGGGTGGTTTTTAGTCAGTAAGAGTCTGACACTCCCTCCCGCCTCACCCAGGCGGGAGCAGTCATTCGATGATTTTCCCCCCTTAAAAAAAGCCCTTAATGTTATTTCTATGTGTCACCTCATACTATATAATACGCCATTTTCCCGAAGAAACCCAGGCCCTTGTAACAAATAACAAGTATAGCATTTCCAAAACCCTTCGGCCGACCCGAAGACGATCCCAATACTTAAGTAAGCGTAAAGTTATTTTAAATGCTAACATTCCCTTAATAAAAACAGGTTCAGGTAGTCGCTACAAAGAAGTCGAAGTTTTTGAAGTCGTTTTTTTTAATATGATCCTTTTGAGTTTGGTTTTAAAGTGCAAATTTCTTGTTTTTTGCCCAGTTCGAAGTATTATAGCTTTGGCACTCTAAATTGGGTAGTTTCAAGGGTATCAAAATTAAATCTAATTAGTCCGTCAGTTAAATAATGAAAAAATATTAGACACGTATTTTTTTATTTTTTTCGTATTAATTTGCAATACTTAGATAAAATGGCGATAAGAGTAGGAGTCGTTACGTCATAACGTGCTACAAAATGTGGCACGCTGTGACGTCACACGATATTTGAATTCAATCGTCGAAAGTATTTAATTTTGTGAGAAAAGAAAAAATACGTGTAAGTTTTAAATTAATGTACCAGGCGGACATTAAAATTTAGGAAACTACCCTATCGTCGAAACTACCTAAATTGTAATTAATGATTTATTAGCTGTCAACCCCAGCTGCGGATAGTTGCTATAGCCCCTATGAATTTGCTATTTTTTTCTTGCATAAATACAAATATGGTTCCGACAACAATAACGAAACTTGACAAGAATAATTATATAGATTGGTGCAGTCGTTTGGGAGTTAGCTTACGGACAATACTTCAACTCATTTTTACCTAATCATGGAAGATAAAATAAATATCTGTGTCTTAATACAAGCGTTCTAGTTACAACAAAAGGCCTCGATCTTTTAGACCTTTGCGTTGTTCTAGCATTTCTAGCTAATAATTATGTGTATTATTTATTTTGTTACGAGGCAACAATGTAAATCCTGCTTGTTCTCTTTATTTTTAGGTCATTCAACATTTAAGTAAGCCTTTGTCTGGCCCGTACTTACATAAGATAAAAAATATGATTACAGGAAGGTAAACTACCGAATGGTTTTAATATCAAATGACTTTAACATATGAAATAAGCTAGTAGATGTACCTAACAACTCTGTATTCTGTAAACCCTTTCAGAACAGTCTTAGCCCTTATAAAAAAACATACAGAGAACCATCAATTAAACACAATTCTATTAAAAAAATTCGAAAGTTGGTGAATACGAAAAAAAACTACTAAACGGATAAAGATAAATTATAGTCTGGCCTAAATTTTATCAAACCCCGGCTGGCAGAATGTACTAAATAATAAATCATCGAAATTCATATCGGGCCGACATTGCAACATTGATATCGCACGTCCGCTCAGCACGGCGTCCGCCATCGTTCTGCGAAGGCCGAGCCGAGCCTAGCCGAGGCGACTGAGGCGAGCTCACAGCTGACGACTAACGTAATCGAATCACCAGACGCGTGCGTAGACTGTCGGGCGCACACGTGATTTTATATCTAAGGATAAAATGTGCGTTAACTTTGGTATCCATGTGGTTTGTTTTGTGTTTTAGTTGAGAATGTTTGCTTTATTGGTTTAAGTTTGAAATAAATAAACTCACGCCTGTCCTATGAGGCTACAACTTTGTTGAAATTGTCGTTAGTCGAGAAAAATAATTCAATTTAAAGGTTTTGTTATATCATTGATAGAGATTAATTCTCAATGCTTTTCGCTTAGAACCATTATAACATTAGGCTATCATAGGACCCTTATAAATACGAATCACAAACACCACAATCAGATCACGCAAAACTCCCAAAAATAACTGCCGTACCTAAATCCTGATCCTCACAGCTAATAAACAATTTAATTAATGAAACTTCAATGTTAATTTCCACGCCTAATCCTTCACGGGAATACAGTAATTTCGACCCTAAAAGCTGGACGTAATAACATCAATGCCTATACTAAATGGATACGAGTGTAAAGCTGATTGTACATTGACGCGAATTTGTTTAGTCCCAACATTTATTCAAAACCCCTTTAAAATGGCAAGAAACTCTATGCTCTTTAGAACGAATGGAATTTTCTGCGTTTAACTAGTTGCCCTACAAATTCACAAAAGTTTCAGTATAGGAACTGCGAGAAAAATGGTGACGCATTACTGATCATAATTCATAACCTATTGTAGTTTACCCTGGCAGGGTCGACATGTAGGCAGCTGTTTTTTTTTTTTTTTAAGGGGGGAAAATCATCGAATGACTGCTCCCGCCTGGGTGAGGCGGGAGGGAGTGTCAGACTCTTACTGACTAAAAACCACCCCGTTCCTTCTCCTGCACGTCGAGCCGGAGCCCCGGTTACCCGTTAGGTAGCTAATGTTATTGAAACGACTGAAGCCGATTGATAAATATATTTCATAACATAGGTCTTACTATATACACCATGACCATAAGATGATTTTCGCCAAGAGTTATGAAGAAGCAGTCGCTACTCTCAAGTCCCAATATCTTGAGACTACTGCCCACTTTTATCCCTTTCTTACATGTAACTATGTAGTTCATTTTTTACGTACCTAACCTGACTATATCAGAGATGGTGGACGGTGTTAATTAAACCCATAATAATAAGTCGTTTAATTTCTAGCCGCCGCAATGGAGACTCCGCTTAAGGTTCGGGATTGTTGACTAATTAATGTGATGTAGGTATCTCTGTGCCTGTGTTCAACGTCGAGGGTGAATCGAGTTCCAATAGCCAGACAATTGAATAACGGGACGCGTGAAAGGGTTGAGTATTGATTTTGGCTAACTAGTACTCGTATGGAAGTGAATGATACATTTAGGAGAATTGATGATCTAAGAGTATAGTTTTACGTTTGACGAGATAGAAACGAGACCGCGTTCGATGCTCTGATTGGCCGGCTTCAATTAACCAACCGAAATTTAATAAATTAAGTAACAAATTCGTACTAAGGCCCCTGCTGTGTTATGATTGTGACGCCAGAGTAAAAATTAAAATTACTCTTCCAGCGGGTATCATAAAAGCCAACTAAGGGACTATACATTTGACAGAGACTCAACAGCTGCGCTCTCTGATATAACTGAACCTTCGAAATGGTGATTCTAATCCGCCTGCAAACGTAGAAGAGATTATGCCAAACCCTCTTATCCAGGCTGCTAGTCCAGTAGAGGACTGTCACGAGTTGCTGTTGGGATTAAAAAAGAAAAACTAAGCTTCACTGACAGACAGGCGGACAGACAATTAAGTTTTTGACGTTTCAAAAGTGCCTTGTTTAAGATTAATTGACTTAAATGCTTTGACTTTGACTATAAACCCATAAAACCTCCTTTTTTCTGATTACACATTCTTCTTAACAACCAAAAGGATTGAATTTTCTAAAGGAAAAATCGAAAAAATAATTAGTAAAAAAACAGAAAATACTTTAGAAATATAATACAACTAAATGTTTAACAGCTTACAAACGCAACGTATGTATTGTTGTTCAAGGTTTTATATGGCTTTTGTTCTAAATCAATGAAAGGAAACGACAAAAACACAGGAAAATTAACTTCACTTTTTGTATGCCTTTGTTTGAAAATGTTTTCCTTAACGTTTCGTTGTTTTTGGGAACTGACAAGGACTGGGTGCTCTTGGAAACATGTGTCATCAATCACATTATAATAAGTCTTCATTTAGTGGTTTTCTAAAGTCTACTGAACTCGGAAAGTAGCCTCTATTTTTCACTTAACACGATAAATCAAAGAAGATAAACTACATAATATCGGCAAACTCAACACAAACACCAACTGCCTCTTATTTCGACACTAATAGTCAATAACAACAAACTACATTCAATTTTGAACCTTATTATCAAAGCTGACAAGCCATATGATGGGTGAAATCTCATCGGAGATCACCCTCCCTTTGATTTCACACACACGTCACGTCGTCTGTAAATAAGGGTGCCTCATAAACCCTATATAAAATCATAAGCAACATTTTAGAAAACCTTTCATACATTCACCACAGACTATGATGAAAGTTGTTGATCGAATCCACATTCAAAGGCCGAGGTTCCAAATTGAATTTCGGTACCGTTTACTTTTATAAACGTTAAATGTATAGTAAAAAAAATCTTTACAATTTCCCCTCGTGTTTTCTCTTTTTCGCGAACGGTTTAAAAGGAAAATGTTTTATGTTTTTGTAATTTTTAATTATACACGGAAGCATCGCGAAA